AAATTTTTCTTCATTGTAAACATAAACTCGTAAATTCTCATGCTGTATACCGTCATGTTCAAACATGTACTCTTTTAAAAAAATAAAATAACTATTTCATGTAATATCTTTTTTAAATAACGTTTTTGAACTTGTAAATATTGCCTTGTTTCTTACTCCTACCCCTTCAACCTCATTTACAATAAATACATTTTCCCCGTATTACAGACTCGGATAATGTACATTAAATACAATACACAAAATATAGAAAGAATTTTTTAAAGCAATGCTCGAAGGTGACGCGCCGCAACTGCTGAACGTGTTCGTTCCTGTTTTACCTCCCTCAAAATTCTTCCGAACAAAAGCAAGTCTCTCTCTAGACCCGCAAATTTTCCGTATAAGATTTCCTTTCTCATACATTCACCGAATCGCCTACACGTCGGAGACGTTGCCCCGTGACAACAAAAGCGACCGTCTTAAAATTCGACTGGTATTCATCCCCCTCCCCCCCGCTGTTCGTACTCTAGCCTCGAGACAAAAGAATGCTGAAGTCCCAATCCCCACTCACCATTTTTCAAACTTCTATTTTGTCTAAAACCCTCTACCACCCACCTTCTCCAATCACCTTTTGGGTAGGTATGGAGCGAACCAATCAAATCTTGGATGAGTATAGGGCGAACCAATCAAATCTTGGGTGAGTATAGGACGAACCAATCAGAACGCACCATTTAATTACCCTGTTACCCCCTCCCTTCACTCCTCGACCAATCAAAACGCGCCCTTTCGTCCGTCTAGGCCACGCCCATGGCGCCGGAGGGAGACGTGGAGGGGGTCTGTTTTGACGCCCCATGGCTGCCCATATACTACTGACATCGCAATGTAACACACAGTATACGATATGCGGGTAGAAACGATGTGTACTCGAACGCTTTGTCAAGAGTAATGAATCGCGTTTCGTGATTTTTTTATATATACGACGCAGTAGAAATGATAAAACGCTCTGTCAATAGTAATGAATAGCGTTTCGTACTTTTTATATTTCCAGATGAGACTCTTATCTATCTAAGAGGAGAGGGAAATAACATCATAAATATTTTTTGTAAGATATAATATTTAACGGATATGTATATATCCGTTATCTGTAAGATATAATATTTAACGGATATGTATATATCCAATATATATTTAACGGAATATGTATTTTACATTACAATACGATAGTGTGAAATTCGATAAAGAAGAAAAAAAATGGTATCGTAATATAGTATATATTTAAATAAAAAATCATAATAAAATGTCACATAGAGAGATTGAAAAAATATTATACAATTTTGCGAATAACATTAGTCAATGGATTGTACTCTATCATCCTATCGTGAATAATAAGACAATAAGCTGTGGTGTTCAGTGGAATGTTTTCCTTACATTCGAATTCTATACAAATATCCACAGTAGCGCTCTTTATCGATTCATTTTGGCGAGAACAATCGATCACTACGAATGGACCGTTTGCATTAAATTCCGCGACAGATAACAGAGCATCGCGATTGTTGTAACCGTAGTATGTCTTTTGAAATTTTACATATATATCATAGAGTATAGCGAATTTGTTGCGTTCGATATCTAAATTCGTCGTAAGAATAAAAATCAGAATTTAGAAAAAGTTTCACATTAATGAGGTTACATGCTTCGAATTGCGAATTATTTTGCAATGGTACGTTTCTTCTTTCGGTTTGAAGTGCAAAAATTACATATAGCGATTTTTCCAATTGCGATGTTGTTTTAACAGTCCATAAATGCTTCGTTGTGCTTTGAAGCAGAGGAAATTCGTATAGGTCCCACGACCGGAAATCACATACTGAGATATCGTCCACCTTCCAACGTTCGCAAAAGTGATAATTTATTAATATCATTTAACACTACATGTAGCATTTCCCATTGTATGTTCAACAGCGTGATTTTAGATTCCATCGATTCATGCGCCACAACGCAATTGTTATCGTTACGCGCACGTATCAAGATAAGTTCGTGTCGCGCGTTTATTACTATGCGTTTGTAATCGTCGCAAAATCCTAGGAGTGTGTTGAGTGGTACGCAAAAGTTGAAATCCTCGGATTGCGAAATAAATGCACTTTGCTGTCCCATCCTGCATTTAACGTTATACTCTTGCTAGTGATGTTAGCGTATGGATTGTAAGTGTAAGTCTCGAACTTAACGATACGATCGTCGAAGATGGGTCACCCCCTATGTTTAGAATATTGCGACTTATTTTCACGACGAATCCCAGGGATCGTAGAAATGCGACGTTCGCAACGTTCAATCTCCGTTCCTCTTTGCTTTCTTCCAATGTATCGTTCGGAGAGCGATGATAATTGCGACGTCTGCGGTATGATTGTGGTAGATGTATTCTTACAATCGTGTGACTTAGAACGAGCTTTCGCTCATGAGCATATTTTTATATGCATATCGTCTGCGTCGTATATGAAGTCGAATCGATATCTCTTCTGCACGAAGGTTTATCAATTGTCCGGTTTAATCTACTACACGTATCGTTATATCGGTAACGTTTCGCGTGACAACTAGGAGATAAATGACGTGTATGGGAATATCGGACAATTTATATCCAGGTGGAACGTTCACCGTGAATTCGTGTATCGTATACACTGGTTTATCGTTGTTGTACGCACCCGAAGTAATATTGCATTCTATACAAATTATAATTATATTCATAATATTTACAGGTTTGTCAGACGCGTACCACTTGTTCCGTTGTATTACGCGAGACTTTGAATAACCTAATAGTAAACCGATATTATTCGGTTTCGTAAAATTTATTCGGTAGGCACATTTGATCTCGCTTCTCATAGTATTCTCATAGTATTCTTGGCTCGAATAATCAGTGTCTCTTCTTTATGATTACTGTCGTCGTCGTCGTCGTCGAATATGTAATCATCGTCATTATTATCTTTATCGTTAAGCGTTCGTCGTTGTGTATGACGAATAGCAGCTCTCAGATACTTGTTTATAGCACTCAACTATCTACTTCGTACGATCCTTCGGGAATCGTGATTATTTTATTGTTGGTATCGAAGTAAAATTTATTATTCGTGAAAGTAACATATGGTATCGCGTTGTACGTTTCAAAATTCGTAAGACCCAATTCGTATTCACCATTACTTAAATCCAACGCAGGGAAGTAACTCGCTATGATGATACTGGTTGTTCCAGTCAACGTGAGAGTCAACGATATGATTGAATCGAAGGTAAACGATTAACTGAGATGACTCACACGACATATTATTAGATATATTTTTTCCTCCAATCTATTTCTCGAAGAAATCGTAGACAATTGACTACAAATGCTCTGATCGAACATTTGATAAGAGTGATTATATTTTACGTTGCCTCCGAGATATCGTTCGAGTTCCCTTGACGGTCTAAGATTGTCAAAACCATTGAAGTAAACAGCGTTATTTCCTTTTTTTGTCCACAAAATTGATAACCAGGTATATGTACTTCAAACGGAAGCGCGTTTATTGTCTTGTTAAGTAAACCTGCACCATACGTAGAAATCATTCCTCACATTCACGTTATCTTATCATATACGACGGCGACGATATCTTATCAT